AATAAATTTAACATAAGTTTTAAAAGAGCCATTAAAGTAATATTAAAAATGTCATAAAAATTGAATGACTTGCTCAAGAGGTCCTCCTCGAGGAAGAATAAGTGTAAAATATTCCATAAGCACCTGGTGGTAGGCTCTCATGAAAACTTCTCATATTCAATATTTCTCAACCTCTGATCACGGTCTTAGAGTTGGCAAAATTGGCTCTAGTTTATTTTTAGCCATTTTAGTCGCTTAAGGTCCATATACCCTACACATTCCTATTCCAAGGGTGTAAGTTACCCATCCAGTTATGTGCGGGTTTCAGGATGTACTTAAGCTCTCATTTCCTAGACCTCAAGGTCCAACTAGTCATTACGTCTCTTGCACATAAATTTGGGTGTCCTCATATATCATAGGCTCTAGGAAAGTCTAATAGGCATGGAGTTATCACTGCTCACTATAAGTGACCTCACAATCTTCCTGTATCTCCATACGTGTCTACTATTGAGCGCTAGCTGGAAGCTCCCCAAATGGCACCCAACAATCTCTCTATTTCCATGTCATTCTAGGTTAGAATAGAGCAAGACAGACTTCACTCTAAACACAATCGAAGTTCTCCTTGTAGTATACTTTATGTGTCACGGGCACTAAGTGGGTGACTTCACAATCCTATATACAAGTAGACCGTAGCATGTTGAGGTAAGTACACGATTAGGGGTTGCACCCTAATCATCCCTTTTTTGTAGCAGTTAACTTAAAACAACCATTATGGACCCTAATCATGGCTTAAGGACCAAGGAAAAGTTAACACATATGTTAAGGCTGGCTAATAGGTCATACGTATCCTCTAGGAACATAGCATCTAATCCATACATCAATCAACACATACAAAGGTATTCACACCTCCTAACATGCTTCTAGTGATATAAACGATATTAAATCATAAATCATGCATATATGCACATTATACACCCATACCGGGTAAGGTACGGTCAACCATAACATGAATCAATCAAAGTCACCTTTTGCATTGCGGAAGTCCTAAAATGTACAATCGAGCTAAACCGTCATTAAATCATGAATTATAGGCTTAACTATTCATTTCATTTTCAATTCATCCTTAAACGATGCTAATTGTTCCTATGCCCCTCTAGTTGATTTGACGAGTATTTCTTGCTAAAAAACTAAATGGTATCTTACTTGGTTGGCCGACTTCTCGGAATTAGTAGATATATAATCCAAGAAGAAATATATATGTCGATCAAATTTATGGAAAAAAAAACTAAGCTTGTGAGAGATTAAAAAAAAAAAAAAAAAAAAAAAAATCTATGGACAACAAAAGATGATAAAATTGATTAAAATAGTTTATTTACTTCTCAATCAAAATTGTTCAATTTTGATACAAGAAATATATTTAACAAATAAATATTTGTTCAATTTCAACAGCAAGCCCGTCTAGCTCAGTTGGTAGAGCGCAAGGCTCTTAACCTTGTGGTCGTGGGTTCGAGCCCCACGGTGGGCGATTTTGTTTTTCTTGTTTCAATTTAGCCCAACGTATTATTGTTTATTTATTTATTTTTTTTTATTAAATTTGTAGTTTAGGTTTTAAGGAATATAAATTGATTTTTTCTCTAAAATAAAAGTTAAACGATTAATTTAGCTCTATCTATTTATAAAATTTAACACATTGTTTAAAAAAAATGATTTCTTATAAGCGTTAATATATTTTACTTAAATGCCTAAATATGTTTTTTTTAAAATAATTTGATGACACATTAATTGACATTTCTTTTTTAAATTTAAACGGATTTACTCAAGCTACTTTTATAATTTACAAAGAATAAGATATAATTGAATAAAATTAAACCGTAAATGAGTAAATTGAATCTTTTAAAATAATTAGGACCACACGTTACCAACTAAACATATATGTAATATTTTAAGGTAATTCTTTAACAATAAAAAAGTACTATTAATAACTAAATTAAAGTAATATCTACTAATTTTCTTTTAAAAAATAAAATAAAATAAAATAAAACAAAACAAAAAAAAAAATTATCGCCCACCGTGGGGCTCGAACCCACGACCACAAGGTTAAGAGCCTTGCGCTCTACCAACTGAGCTAGACGGGCTTATTGATAAAATTTAAGAAAAAAAGTATATAATTAGTATAAACAAGTTGAGTTATGGTATTTATTAATGTATTTTAAGACTGATGATTAATTATAGTAAGTATATATTGGTTAATTATGGTCATAAAATAGGAAATTACAACTTTACTTTATGGGTTTCTGAAATAGTGTAAAAAAAGGTGCTTCGAATCATTACTATTTGATTCGGACATGTTCTAAAAAATTTGAGGGATTTCGAATTGTTTGTTGACACGGATAAAGTCAAGGAAAACCTCTGAAATTATTTTAATATTGGATCTTGGACATATAATAGTTTCGAATCGAATCTCGAATTTTTTGTTGGTCTCATGCTAGTTTTTATTTTGAGGCTATATAAAGTCATGTAAATGCTTGAAGAGTGTAGTAAAAAGAACATTTGTGCTTTTCTTTAGCCAAGTTATAAGTTTGTTAATTGTAGGTCGTTTAAATTGCTTGCATGTTTACAATCATTCTAGTTTGACATGATCAATCTTACTTGTTAAGTAATCTGAATCTCAAACAAGTGTTATTGCCTTAGAGAGATATTCAATAATTTAAATATTATTTTTCCTTAGAGTGATTTACCACTACTTCGCTAATAAATAATTTGTTTATGACTTACCTATAAAACTAAGTTCCTTAAGAACTAAGGAGAGGGTGGGACCCATTGTTCAACTCGAAATCAATACTTACTCATCTACTTACTATGCGAAAAAGAACGAAGAATGTCACATGTTTTATTGTACTTATGTATTGTTTACGACCACAAGGTTAAGAGCCTTGCGCTCGAGCAAGACGAGCATTTGGGAAAATTTCAACAGAAACGTTAAACTTATTACACAAACTTGTTCTTGTTCCTTCTATTATTAAACCCCAAGTAGGTATTTCATTTCTTCTACCATGATTTGCCTAGTCTTTGTGTATTTTCTTCTTTATTTTTTTAAAACAAATTATAATTCAATACTTTCCTCGGGCGTAGGTTTAGCTCCTTGATTAAAACGATTCGAAGAATTTTGGAGTTTGAAAGAGCGAGAGAGTTCGTTTTGGAGTAGATGATCAATACCACTTCCTTCTATGAGCTATTACAACGAGATAGTCTATTTAGAACTGTTGGTTACAAAGGTCTAAAAGAGCGGTTGAAATGCTTTGTTATAGAAGCTGAAGCTCTAGTACAAGTTGTGTTCATTGATATAATCATTACAAGCAATTGGATCCTTCATAAGATGTTTGTAGTTACACTTACAATTTACACCTCTGGTATCACTGATTCTTTAATGAACAATTCTTTTAATGATCCAATTATAAAACTAAGTTCCTCTTGAGCTAGTAAGAGAATAAGGTCACATTGTTCGAATCTCAAAATCATCACTTACCATATATGCTAAAGAGTGAATCTCATCTCATGAAATTATGTTTCCAGCTCTATATTTAGGTCAAGTCCTCGAAATGGTAGCATATGGTTGGATATAAAAGTCATTTTCACCCACAAACCCTCACAAGTAAGAATTCATAACTTACTTAACACTAAGATCGAGTCGCATAAAATCATCTTGCGAAGTATTTATCTTAATTAATAAATTTATAATACTCATTGTATAAGATATCCTCGACCCACATGCTTTGACTTGAATAATTTAAATCAAATTATTTGTAACAATTAAAAATTTGGTCAATAGTGTAGGAGAATAAGGCACTCCACTTTATCTATATTAGACTCTTTATATTATTACTTAAATAATATCTTCCTCCGTCTCATCTACACATTATTTTAAGATTATACTAATAACCTTGAGTTCTTCAAATAATTAATAATATTAAATTACTAATAAAAAAATCAACATTATAACTAAGAATTAAATAATTTATTACAAGATTTTAGAACATAATTCAAATAATTTTTCTATTGGACGACATTTTTAATGCTTTCAATCCCATTAGATATTTTGAAATGATATTTTGAACCATTATGAAATCTTATTGTACGTACGAAAACTTAGGATAATTTTCCTATTTGTGTGTATGAAAATTATATTGGGACGTAAAACTCCATATACGTGTTCATAGGAATTATAGTAATTAACTATCGATGTACATGAGAAATATGGCTTTGTTGGCAATTATATGTCTGTGTGCATGAGAACTGTATCACCTCTTTGTAATATATGTATGATAATTACTTATTTGTGTGCATGCAATTGTATTAATGCTTTGTGATTTTGACATGTGGCAACTAGTTATATGAGTATGAGAATCGACCAATTTAAACAATTTGTGAGTCATGTGAATTTTACATTAAGAAGAATCAAGCTATCATTCAGTCAAGGGTTTCCTTTTAAGGTTATATAAGCCACGTAAGTTATCTTTAACAAGGGACTTAAAAAAAAGCAGTAAAAAAATGACTAAGTTTCTTTGCAAATGATTGCATGCTTATAATCATTCAAACTTGACATGATCATGCAGTGATTCGAATCTCAAATAATAATTTTTTTTTTTTTGTCATTAGGACTAAGTGTTCTTACTTTTTCTTTAAGCCAAATGCTAAGTTTTTTTCTTTGTGGAGTGGCTCGAATCTCAAACAAATGTTCTTGCCTTGAGATATTCAATAAAAAAGGTAATCTGAATCTTACTATATCTTTCAAGAAAGAGCAAATACGTATAAGGGCCACAACAAAATTAAGAGCCTGGTGCTCTACCAACTGAACGAGACGGGTCAATAAAAACTCAATAAACAACTTTAACTTTTAACTTTTTAAACAAATTATAATTCAATATATGATATTAAATTAAGAAAAAGAAAAAAAAAATGAAATGGTGCAACTTAAGCTAGAAAGAAAATCAAAACATTATTGTAAAAATTTACCGCCAGTGTACATAAATCTAAACCTTATAACTTCTTGGAAGGGAGCCATCTATTACAGTCATATTACATTCAACAATAGCATTTACAAAAGAAAGGGAAAAAAAAACCTACCCAAATCGACCCTTATAGATGCAAGTTTATAACGGTGATTCGAGGGTAAACACGAGAAATCAACCATAACCCATATTGAGACGGTTCTCATTTCCAGCTTCATCGAGCAAGAAAAGAAATACGCTTTTTTAAGTTATAAGACTTTAGAATATTCAACGATGCATAAGTCGTAGATTTATCGAACTACTACTATTGCTTGCTTGTTCACCACCAAAACTCAGGAGTTCCGCTTGTGGGAACGAGCTGTTCGACCTCACATCGAGCAAGAGATCCTGGTCAAAACTATCCTCATCAAAATGTAAAGATTCCAATGTGAAGGAACTTCCATCAGATGGCAAAGCAAATAAACTTCTTGGACTAAAGCAACAACTGTCGTCAATGAGTTCCTTGCTTTCTACGCTAGTCTTCGTCGTCACCCTTCTCGGACTCATCATTGTAATCCTTGTTTCTGAAGATGAAGATGTAGCTTAGTTACGCTAACGATTCTCGAGAGATGTAAAAAAGATGCAAGACTCTATTCCGCTATTAGAAGCATGCACGTGCGTATACTAAATGCAAGATATTCACCAACCTGAAAACTTTTTGTTTTGAGCATCAAGCAATCTCTTGTCATCCACAAAGCTAGTAGAACATTTCTGCAGCCCATAAAAAAGTTGTCAATCACAAGATCACCATGATTCCCCATAAGATAAGATCGTACCTTAAGTCGATCGTATTGTTCCACCCATTTTGATTTAGACAAATCCCACAACACGAGTCGACTCAACGTCTTGCAGTCTTCTCTTTTCGCACCCAGAAAGGAGAAATCAAAGACTCCTTCAGTGAGCAGCTGCTTAAATGAATTCAAATTCTCCTTGAATTGGGGGCTTTCAAACATGCTATTCAAGCTGCATTAAAGAATATATTGGTTATAACCACAATATGAGTGCTCACATGGATATAATATTTTTCCTGATCAACAAGGAGGAAGATCCTAAAAGTATGTATAAAGATTAACCTGTCTGGAAGCTCTTCAGTATCAACAGAAGGCAAATACTTCATTAATTCTCGTTGATCTTCACACGTCAATTGCTTCGTAAACTCTCTGAAGTTTAGAATGACCTATTACCAAACATGGAGCGGAATTATGACAATGGAGATGCTCCATATTTCAACAAATACATGTAGCAAAAAATATATATATCTGCGTGTGCGCGTGCGTGTGAGTGTGAGTGTGAGTGTGCGCGTGCGCGTGCGTGTGCGTGTGCGTGTGCGTGTGCGTGTGCGTGTGCGTGTGAGTGTGAGTGTGAGTGTGAGTGAGTGTGAGTGTGAGTGTGAGTGTGCATGCGTAGTGTGCAGTGTGCGTGTGAGTGTGAGTGTGAGTGTGAGTGTGAGTGTGAGTGTGAGTGTGAGGGTGCGGGTGCGGGTGCGGGTGCGGGTGCGGGTGCGGGTGCGGGTGAGAAAGTGAGTTTTAATTGAGAAAGTTGAAAGAATGTACAAGGGCATACAAAAAACAAGTTGAACAAAAGGGAGTCCCACAAGCTAACTACAAAATGGCCGAGTCTCCGACGCCCACAAGGAGGGCATCGAACATGACCACCTTCCGAAACTACATCACATAGCCTCTCCGCCCCTCTAAAAATATGCATGTACCAAATATTAAGGTTCGTTATCCATGCATATATTTCATAATAATCAACGGATTCTTCAATGATCATTTCGACCATAATTCAGAACAACTTTCCAACTTCACATTAAAAAGATATATATATTAGGCCACTTGTCTTTCGATCAAACGTCGAGCTAAAACCATAAGAATGCAACTTACAGTTAGATCGATATTACAGAGAGGCGAATTATGATTCCCAAGCGCTTGCACTTTTTCCAATTGAGGCCTGTCCCTGATATTACAAACACGAAAAATATTAGTTCTTGCGCTCATAGCTACATACTCGAAAATATTTGAATTCAGTTTGGTCCTAAGCTTACTTTTTGATTTGTTCCTGCAAGAACGCCTGTCCATTAGAGTGCTTTCTCCCGATTCCAAGAGTAGAAGGAACGATGGACGACTCTGAATAAGCCTCGTTTACAGAGAAATGTTTATGATCAACTGAAAATGAGCTTGCTTCCGACTCCTCCTCTCGAGCAATGGAACTTGGATGCCTCATGAGAATGCTTCCATGACCTATCTCTACAGAGACCATTGGAGTTTCACTCTCGAAAAGCAAATCCTCCTCAGAAGATCCAGAGAAGTACGACTGCTGTTCACGTAAAATGGTGTATAGATCTTTAGTGAGTTTCTCGACTGCAGTAGACTTCGGATGATCAACACAGGTCCTCTTTCTCGAAGGCACCATCGACTCCCAAGCTGTCGACTGTGAGGGTCCTGGCGAAAAAATAGAAATAAGCTACAACTGAGATATCCCATACATACAACAATGCTAGGTTAGTTCGTCAATGAAGTAGCTGTATTCATAAGAAAGGCAAGCATAAGGTCCAAAAAGCTGTCATACAAACACTGCTCACATATACGTCCAATTGGGGCGAGAATTTGAACTTCCAACTTCAAAAAATGAATTCGATTCCTAAATGATTAAGCTATGCTCATGATCGTAAGATTACTGGACTTATTCACGATCATCGAATACACAAGTACGCCATTTGATATTTCTTGCAGTTCTATTCTAACTTCAGCAAACCCACAAACTAGTTGTGCACGAACAAATTTTTAATTCTCATATGTCAATCGTATAGCGGACCAACCTGTCAGATCACTTCCATCGGCGCCACCGAATTGTGCACAGCTCTCGGAATTTGATATGGCTGATCCAGAACTTGATCTATTACTTGTATCTTCATCCACTGCCTTGTGGAAGCTCTGAGCATGATCAGGGATAACCCCAACCACAACTTCATGATCTTGATAATGCTTTCTTTTAAGCAGTTTCACTTCTTTGTTCTTATACATGGACGAGTTCTTCAACCTAGAGAGCCTTTTATCATCGTACTCATCAGGATCTGCCCGAGCATGAAGAGGAGTATAGTTTGCAAGACTTCCCTTCGTCCTCCATCGAGATCCACATGCGTTGCACAATACTGGCTTATCGGGAGGCCCATTGCGCCAGAGTGGTGTGCCTGTTTCAATTTTGTTATATTAGGATCTATTGCTAAAGAAATAACTCATGCAACAAAGGCAACATCGATACAAACTAAACTCGAGGAGACAGTTACAGATACCCAATCACTAATAAGTTCTATGTCAGCTAGAACGGCCAACGTGCAGCTCTCAAACAATGGAAATGGCTTGTGGCCATTACAATGACATAATTCAAACCTCTCAAATAAATCACAGCTCAATTGAGTTACTGAAACTAAACTTGGAAGGCTTGGTTATAGAAATGAAGGACGAAGAACCCAAAAGTTAATAACTCTAATGAAGATGACGCAACGCTCGACTGAAACTCTAAGTGGAATAGACAGAATCAGAACTAGTCATTCACGTCCCTTCACGAAACTTGTTTGTTTCCAAGTCAATGACCTCGTGTACATATTTCGATAGTCAATAACATGATCAAAGAAGCATCTCTACCGATCAGTCCTTATTGTCTTCTTCATGCCATTTCACTCTCTAACCTCGAAAAGTCAAGCAGGCCTGATAAAAACCAGCAACTATAAAATCGGAACAAGCTCTTGCAGCAACTTGATTAAGGAAGATATCAATCAATGTGTTCAAACATTCACAAGAACAGCCATAGATATCAATCAATTCTGCAATCCAGGAGGGTGGGTGTGCATATTTAACAACTTGAGAGCCTACCAGTGATACAAAGGCATAGAAGTCCATTCATGTTTTCAAGTGAATGCTTAAAATTGAAGTTTATTTAATCATGAATCAAGAGGGATAGCTTAAAAGTAATTCAGAACCAAACATACCAGCATTACAAGGGGATACAATGTGGGCTTCACTAAAAGATTGTTTTCTTTGATGTAACTCAGAAATTAATTCAAACATAACATAACGCTAAACTTCATCTTTGGGTTCATTGGGGATTGAAATTGACTCAATATGATCTTCGAATTTCTAAGAACTTGCAGCTAAGACAGAGTTTAGAACGAGCAAATGAGTATCAAGGGAAGGGAAGGGAAGGGCAGGACAGGACAAAAGACATCCACTATAAACTCTTTGGAGAGGGGAAAATCATCAAATCTCACTGGGTTTCTAAGATTGGAGCTGTTTTAGATATCAAAATCAGAAACAATTCTAATGAATTTCATAACTGATTCAAGGAGTTTCTTATGTTCTTATTCATGATTAAGATCATTTCATAACCAAATTACATATACACATCACGTAAAAACAATTTTCAAAACGTCTAATGAACAAACAATAAATTAGAATAAAGTTTGAAACCCTTGTTTACAAAGAGAGCAGGGCAAAAAGGAAAACCAAAACTGGAGAAACAAGAACTCACTTGTAACTCCACAGTGATAGCAAGGCCCTTGCTTGCCCATCTCCTTCTCTTCCTTTTACAAATTTCTCCACAAGATAAAGCAAATTACAAAAGAAAAATTGGGTAAAAAACAAAAATATTCACAAAAATTACACAAAAATGGAAAAAAATGATTGGTTTGTTCTTCAAGCCTTTATATGAACGCAAGGCTACAGGGCACAAAACCCTTTTCTGCAAAGAACCCAGAAAGGGGAATTTGCAGAAACAAGCAATAGCTGAAAGACCCAGAAGAGTTTTGCCTAAAAAAGTATGAAAAACCCCAACAAAGATGAATGAAAACAGAAGAAGAAGAAGGAGAAGAGCAAAATCAAAGCAGAAAAAGCCCAAAATCAATCAAAAGTGAAGAGATTAAAAGGGTTATTAATTGGGAATCTGTACAATCCAGTGGAAGAGAAAGGAGCAGTGCAAGAATCTCACAATGGGTGTAGGAAAAAGAGAGGAAAAACAAAAAAAAGAAAGGCAAAGGGAAGGTGAAATGGTGGGAGAGGTGTGGGTGTCTGTGTGTGACTCTTCCTTCCTTGTTGTATTGTATCAAGTAAATAAATGTTCAACTTTCCTTTCCTTGATTTAATTTTGGTGGGTTATTGAAAATTTCTTTTTTTTTTTCTTTTTTTTTTTTAATTTCCACCCAAATTTATTTTACAAACACTATATAATCTCAAATTATTAAAAAAAAAAAACAATTTTTTTTAGCTTATAATGGCAAGTGAGGTGTAGAGGAATATTATAATTATAAAAAATGAATATTATTATTGTGTATGTACTTGTTGACTATCTGAATTTCTCTACCTCACGTCTTTTCTTTATTTTCCAAGCACACCACACAAATAGAGGAAATTAAATAAATTGTAACTAATTGGGATATCCCATAAGATTTGGATGCTAATTGATATCACGTATTTTATTTTATGAGATTTAGGTTTTTCCTATTGTCAACTTTTGATTTTGTTTTTAATTGATTTTTTTAGTATAAAATTACGGTGGGAGAGATCGAACGATCACATTTTAAGATGGTAAATTGGTGTTTTTTCTATTGAAATATGCTCGATTGATAGTGATATGTTGGTTGAATTAATAAAAGCTTATTAGTTGGGCAGGCTAATGGCGTGAGTTTAAGCTCGAATTGGAAACTTGAGTTCTCTAAGCTCGAAATACGTCTCACTAGCCTATTTCGGTCTTAAAGTTTATACGTTAATTAGTTTTTTTTTTTTTTTTTTTTTAGAGTTTATTAGAGCCGAGAAATAATTTTTGATGAGTTGAATATGTTATGATTTTGAAACTCATGAATTAGGTAAAAAGTGTGCCAGAGTTAATGATTTATTGTAACGATTCTACTTTTCTTCTTAAGTATAAAACGGGTGCTACATGTTTGTCAGATGCTTCATGTTGATTCAAACAAAAACTCGTTTAAAATCTTAGAGACTAAGAAAACATTTCAATCGTTTACTAAATTCAGTGAACCTAAATAAGCATAATAAAAGGTATGTCGTAAATAAGTATTCAATGACTCTTTAACGTGGAATTTAAGATTGGAATGCTAATATACTATTCTATCAATAAAAATCTGACTAAATGCGAATAAACTTTCTAAAGATCCTCGATCACCGTGCATCAGACTCTTGCTTTTATTTCAAAACATCTTAATGAAAGGATGAGTATTTAAAAATACTCGGTACGTGACTCCACCATTGAAGTCGAAAAATTCACTCACATACAACATGTATAATGACTATTGAGACATAAATTTGCGACTTTTCTTTGAGCTCTACTTTCTTTTCTAATTAGGGTTGGATGCATACTACTTCTTTACGCATAGCCCACGCATATGCACATGAGCCCACTAGGCGGACTTGTTAGTGTACCCATTGGCCTAACTATAGACAAGTGTACACTCATGCTGTCCAAAATGAGAGGGAGACAAAGGAACCTATATAATAGCATGGGTATATGGGTTGAAATTTACATAACTTAAAGAAGTACTCTATTATCATATGAGTATACAACATACCTGAGATCTAGCATATAAATTCATGGTTCAACGAGATAATGCATATAGTTCTTCTCTACATAACATAATTTAAATTCCTTGCAAGATAAATATACATAGTCATGGCATTGTGATCATTCTGACAATACATTCTACATCATGATTTCTTGTATGGTATAAACATGGTCATAACATCATATCCGTATACTCAAAGGTGGACGTTTGCGCTAACATGCTTTGGTCGCGAGGCCTCGTGGGTTCATCGGCTAAACCTTGTTGTTGGATTTGTGTGGATGTGGGTTGAACGACCAATGGTTGGGTTTGACTTGGAATTGGATTATGAGATGCATGGAGTTCGTGCATTTAGTTTGTTAGGTTAGACCTTAACCCGACGTAACCAGTGGATCTCTTCTTCTTTGCCCGATTGTCTATGATTTTTGCATACATACTTCGACAAGCATTTTTTCATGGTGTTGCAAGCATTTTCAATGGTTGTCTACAACTGTAATGTAATGCGAGTTCAATTAGCACGAATTTGCCAACTTTTTCTTTTAAATTTTAATTGATTTTATTGAGGTCTAAACTTTTATTTTCTTTTTCCTTTAAATTCGTAGATTTTCTTGAGTATTAGATTATGAAAATTATTCGAGATGTGCTAGGGAAGTTATTTTGAATAAGTTTGGTGAAGAAGATTGATAAGAGAAATTGATCAAAAGTTAGAGTTCTGATCGAGGTGTAAGAATAGTAAGTTTATAGGTTTTGAAAGTAGGATTGGGCGCACATGAAAAAACAAGTGTCGCAATGAAGTTAATCGGGAGGAAATTTCATCGGGGCTTGAAAATGAATACGCTACACACGAAAAGGGCCACATGTCAAACAAAGGAAAATTGTTGCATTATGCAAACGATGAGGTTCAAAACTTGGATGAATGGAAGTGCAAGTACACGAGAACCCTAGTACATGTTAGCCTCTTTGCTCTGCTCGTGCATGAGGCGTAAGAGGGTTCATAAGGACGTGAGTTTTTGCCCGATTTGACCTTCATTTGACTGTTTTCACTTCGATTCAATATTAAGCTTAATGTAACTTGAGTTAGGTTCCACTAGAGAATTTTCTAGAAATTCAAATCACCTAACAAGCAAAAAATGAGCTCAAAAAAGGCACACATGCCCAATAAAGTAGCCATTCGGACTTGCCTAGAGCAATACTTGTATAGATCACTCGAACGTGCTAGGTGCTGACATAACCTACCATATGTGGTTAGATTATACATGATTAGGGTATTAGGTGAGCAATTTAATTGAGTATGCAATGTATGTTTTGAAAAATGACTAAAATGCCTTTAGTATAAGATTTCTAGAAAGAATACATGTAGGATGGGATGTTATGATTTGTGCTTAGATAATTAATGGATGTTATCTCCCTATTGAATAGGTATGAATATTTGAGTATGATTTATATGTTACACGGATTGATTGTGGATCTCCCAATTTGAGAATGCATGTTTGTACTGAGTTAAGCTAGGACTATTCTATGTTGACTTAAGTCAAAACGCCTTTAGACATCGAGCACTTAGGAGCATGAACGGTGATCAGCAGTCTAGACCTTAGTGCTTATAGACCAAGCGAACCCTAAAGAACTAGTTCAACTACTATTGAGATGAGAGTTCGAGTTTCGGGACACCTTAAGAACTTAGTTAACCTCCACGACACCTAGGCATGTTTAAAGTAGCTCATCAGGCCTACTAGCAATGTGAACGGTATCACCAGAATCTCTGCTCTCTATCTTATTTAGTACTTCGTCTGTGTTACCAGTAACCTACGTTGAATCCAATAACACCCCTTCGAAGTGGTAGGTTTATAAGGAGAGATATCATCGAGCTTGTGCATAGGTCAAATAGGGTACTGTGTTGAGGCGACTAAGAGATATCACCTTGTAAAAATGGTCAGTAGTTTCCTGAAAAGGGCTTTTGCGATGTAAACTCATCCTAAGAGAGAGGGTGTGGGATCACAAAGGTTGACATAGTAGCTACCTGGTGTCACAATCGCACTCTTTTAGCAGTGGAGTGAAAATCAAACGTGCAAGCAGATAATATCAATGTAGTCTTTAGCCTTAAGTCATGTTTTGAGAGAAAAATATTTTTAAAAAACGTGAGCGAGGAAATGAATTGAAAACATGTGGGCATGAGAGCCACTTGGTCGGGGAGGTTTAATTACTATTTGATCCCCTATAATTCATATTGAGGTATTTCATATCGGGTAATAATAGATATGATTTTATCAAGATGACACAAACACAAAACTTATAATAATAAAATAATACAACCTGAAAGTAGATAAAAGTTTTTGGCATGACATGGACATGCGACCATAGACAACACGCTCTAAACAAGTATGATCGTGATATCATCTCCAACCTAATTGGCTGACTTCTTTGTCAACCGACTATGCTTGAATTTGCCGATGTAAATAGCTGTCAATTCCTGGTCTTGTGGGTACTCCCATCGTGTCTCTTCTATACGAAGGTTCTTCTATTTGACAAGGAATTCGAAAACTCTCTTACATGCCTTTCCACTTTTCTGATCTATTGACTAGAATCTCTTCGATCTCTTTAACATCTTTTTATTTTTGGTCAATTTCAAGTCTGATAATGTAATTGTGACTATCATTTTCATCCATGTGAATAGTTCCACCTTATAAGAGGTAAACCATACATTTTTGAAGACTTCTATGGGCCCTTTATACTTCCTATCAACTTTTTATTTTTTCGGCTACGAAATAAGATATATTTTAGCCTGATTTTGACGATAACTTAATCTCCAGCTTGAAACTCGAGAGGACAACGCCTCCTATCCTCCCATTTCTTCATGTATTTGGAAGCTTTTCTCAATAAGCTCAATTTATATTTGCCAGCGATTGTATTATGAGGAGGTCTATCTGTTACTCATTTTGGTCTATCGTTCCCTTTCACTTTGTTTCTATGTGCCTTCATTCCTTTCACCCGTAGGCTTGGAAGCTCAATTTATATTTGCCAGCGATTGTATTCTGAAGAGATCTCTCTGCAACGGCAAGATCTTGAACCTTTTGTTTGTATAGCTTTGTTTTCGCCCATGGTTGCAGTCCCTCGACAAAACAGAATACTTTATCATTCTTAGACATATTCTTAAGTCTATCATCATAGCTAAGAACTGCTTGACAAAACCTCTTATACCCCTAGTGTGTTTCATTTCTCGTAATTTTTGCCTCACTGTGAATTTGACATTTTTAGAGAATAACTAAGTCCTCAAAAACTTTCTTAAGGTCTTCTCATCTACTGATGCATGACTCATTTTGAATATCGTTCACCTTTGAACATCATCATAGTTTTTGCATCGTTTACTAGATGCATTGTGGCTAGAGCATAAGTTCCTATGGCCTTAAAATACTGTTCAACATCAATGATGAAATTTTCGAGTTCTTTTGCATCATGATTCCCTTTGAAGGCTTTGGGTTTCGAGATCTTCAGCTTGTTGAACCTGACATGAGCTTGACTCAAGGTTT